AATGTGTATTAGTTCGTTCGTTTCGTCGTAGCAGGTGTCCTTGCCAGCATCAGAACAGTACTTGGTGGGAGCAAAGCGCAAATCACAGGAAAAAATTTTCTTGGACTACTTTGTGAATCAATCTCAACGGTGTCGTCAAACGGACTGAAGGGAAGCGGCTATTCACGGGAATCAAACCAACAAACGATGACGCAGCGTTGTAATTGAAAACCATGCGCACTCGCTTTTGATGAATGACTTTTACCTCAGTGTCGCTGGATGTGTGCAACCAATAGCGAGACGACAAGCTGGGGGTAGTTAATCCATTGCTTGTAGTTTCGGTTAACACGTCAATGCCCAACGTTTTTAAAGTGCGTGCGAGCACGAACGCTGAACGCCGCCAGGAAAACGCAACAATGTGGCCCTATACGGAGTTGTTGGCAGTTGGGATACAGTGGTTGGTGCAGAGAAGATACTGCGGACATTATGACTATAATTGCATTTCGGTAGTTGCCGGTTAAGTTGGGAAGTACAGAAAAAACTTCAGTGATCCGAGTCGGAAGGGGAGTAAGAGAAACCAGTGGAAAAGAAAATAAGTTTGTCGTATGCAGTAGCAAGTTTTCGTTTGTCTTCCCTGCTGTATTTTGCAGATAAGGCGGCACTTGATTTGCTGCGAGACGGCCTATGCATGATATTTTTGGCGTTCGAACACATAGTCGTTGTTGTATGGGGGCTGCGATCCTGCCATGGCGCCAAGACCTTGATCTCGGACTTTACTGACAGCAGCAACTTGATAGTCATGACATCATTATGGTCCCCCTGAACCTCCCCCCCCCCCCCCCCCCCCCCCCCCCCCCCCAAAAGTCGATAGTTCTTTAACTCCGATCAGTTCTAGTTGAAGCACTATAACCACTAGGCTCCTAAAAGCCACTGCTCACGGTCTCCCCCACCTTCGCCTGATCGTGTTTATTGATGAGCCTTCAGCAAAGGTCCATTTCACTAGATACTAGTGATCTGACAAATTCTATTGTGCTATGCCCCTCATTCACCATGAAGAAGAGCTGTAATAACCCTCTCCCCCTCTCACTTAGGTACGTGCTACATCGGTCATAGGTTCGCTCATCTGACAGTAGTCGACAGCGCCCATACACCCCCCTAACTATTATAACTAACATTTCTACACTTCAACATGTCATACTCCCTACTTCGCTCACAACCTCCAATCCAAATCCTCATCAATATATCAATACCCCCCACACTCCTATCCCACCCACCACTCCCAACCAACCTCATCCATCCCCTCACCACCCACACCCACCATATACCCACCACCCCCCCCTGCCACAACCCCCCCCACCCCCCCCCACTCCCCCACCCCCCCCCCCCCCCCCCCCCACACCCTCACCCACACTTTCTCTCCCCCCCCCCGCGCCCCACACCCCCTTACCCCCCCCACCAACCCCCCACCCCCCCACCCCACCCCCCACCACCCCCCCCACCCCCCCCCCCCCCCCCCCCCCCCCCCCCCCCCCCCACCCCCCCACACCCCCCCCCCCCCCCCCCCCCCCCCCCCACCCCCCCCCCCCCCCCCCCCACCCCCCCCCCCCCCCCCCCCCCCCCCCCCCCCCCCCCCCCCCCACCCCCAACCACCCCATACACCTACCCCCCTCCCCCACCCATACATACCCCCCAATATTACCATCCCTATAACCCCCTCCCCACCCCACCCCAATTATAACCACCCCATCAAAACTCCACTCACACATCCATCCACACCACATCACCATCTTACCCCCAACCCCCCAACACACAACATCTCTATTCTCCCCCCCACCCCTACCCTAAACCACCACCCCCCCCCCCCCTTGCATCATTCGTTGTTGGTGTTGATTCACACGATGAATAGCCGTTCTCTTCATCCGTTTGTGACACATTGATGTTGATATACAAGTAGTCCAAGAAATTTTTTCCTGTGTTGCGCTTGTTACTCCACCAAGTACTGTTTGATGCTTCGCCCATTACACCTTCATACCCACCGCACTAAACCCTCCCTCCCAACACCCCCTACTCCAGTCACGCTCAAACCCTCACCCAACCCACACATAAGTGATGTAGAATGTGCAAGATCTTTCCCCTGTGCTACCGCTCTCAGAAGCGTCAGCTGCCCCCCCCCCCCCTACTCCTACACAAACTCCAACCCCACCCCCCCACCCTCCCTTGTCCCGCTTCCCCTCAACCCCCCCCCCCCTTCGGTTGCAGCTGTGCGTGGATCATCAGCTGCATCTTAGTATCAAGACGTTTAGACACAGCGGGCGCCGATGTACCACTTGCCATCCTACTGTAGCTGACCAGCCGTGGACCCAAATACATCCCATTACCTTAAGTTACAGGTAGTGTGGTTCCGTCCTAGATTGGGTCTTGTTCTAGAGAACTTGCATCAACAGTGATCATGCCTTAGTACTCTGTCATTTGTTCATGAACTTTACCGAGAGGTGTACTAAGCGTCTGACCTCGGTTGGTAAATGAGATTCTATCTCAGCTCTCGGTAAAGCAAGCCTACCAGGATACACTGCGTCCCGAACTTAAGCTCTCTTGTCCTAATGACACTAATCTGTAGTGGAATAGAATCTCGGCTGCCATAGATAATGCAGGAGCAACCGCTTGTGGTATTATCAATCGTCATCGCACCACACACCGTATATCCGAAAGCTCCGGGAACTTGTTTGACTCCAGAAGAGAACTTCAGTTTGACTGTTAGTAAAATGTTACCGGACAGAATAACAGGTATAAAATAAAGCGTAGCCTGTACGTAGACAACGTAGACTGGTAGACCAGTGGATGCTTAAGAAATATAAAAAGCAGAAGCAGTAGGCAATTATCGCAAGCTGTTCAAACTGATCCGCATCACTGATCCCAGAAAGCCAGACATCAGGGATAAAATCAGATACAGCTGCGTGTGTCTGGTTGAGCGGCGCACTTTCGAGATCAGTTTAGTTGTCCCATACTTCCGGATATCTTCATACTTAAGTATTGCAGGCTGAGCCATTTACGTTGCGTGCTAATCACTCACATGTGCACTCGCGGTTTTTAACTGTGTTTCAGCGACATTTTATCGCACACCTTTGGATCCATATCAATTCGTCGTGCTTGTACATGCTCTACTTTATGATACCAGTTCCACGAGTATACTTTAGTGCATCCTATATTTACCCTGATTTCTAACTTCCGGGCAGTGTTTAGCCGATATCCAAGTGCCAAAACTTGAATAACTCCAATCATCGGAGACATTGTTTAGTCGCACTCCATAAACCATTTTAACGGCTTTCGAACGAATTGTCACTCGTTCAAATCCAACATTGATTGGTGCAGCTCCAGGTCTCAAAGCAAATTCACCCGGCGTGATCCATAGGCTTAACCACGAACATTCTCAATCACACCTTTGTGTATTCTGCCCCACTTTCAAGCTGACAAATTCGACTGGCATGCCAGAGAGGACAGTCTACAAGCACACAACTGCAACGTGAACACTGTGAGCTTACCGACACGGTCAAAAGCAGGACGACCTTTTACCATAGCGCGTGAATGATTCAATGGTTGTAACATTTGCTCAGCAAGCGCGATGCCCAGTGTTTCACCATCTAAAGGCTTATGTGGACCATGTGCCAAACTTGTTCACGGAGCACTTTCTGCCGTAACTGTTGCAAGTTCTTCCGTGCGAGATGCCTCCGAGTTAAACCTAGTCAGGCCAAGTTATTAAACAAACCAGACTCGTTATGGTTCTGTGTGGAATGCTCATCGATCCCACTGATAAAAATCGTGCTCCTATTATCTCAGAAGTATGACCAGCTACTAGCCAAGTTTGAGGAAATGGTGACCACCAAAATCACTACGGTTGGGGTAAGCATATCAGACTGGGCAGCTGAATCATCTCCCGTAAGTGCTGCTCCTAATCCGCGAAGAGCTGTTAATAACACCGAAAGCAACACAACACCTAGAGTCCAGAATATCAACAGTTGTCCCAATACCACACGTAGCTCACATTTAGCAAAAGCGGTTCCCAGTTCGATCGGAGTAACTACACGTAAGGCTACTTCCAAACTGCCAACGGAGTGCGTAGAAAAAGAGCAAGCCGGTACTAGCAAAACTTGGGTTGCACTTGCCACCAAGAAGAGCCGTCATTTAAAAGTAACATCACCTCCAACTGGATCGGAAACTGAGGAGGGTAGTGGAGTTTTGCTAGTGCAAGTACCACCGTTTTCCTGCGGTACATCTTCGAGTAAATCAATCGCTAACCGTAACATGTCGAAAGGTGTAAAGAAACAACTACCTGTATTGAGCGTACTGTGCTCCAATATCCCAGAATCAAAGTCGACGTCAATAAGAGGCAGGAACTTGGATGATATCAAGCAGTGGGATACTATCAGTAACCTAATCGGAGTTGTACGGAAACCTGTACACGTAGTGCGTATTATACGACACCCCAACTCTAAGCATTTCGGAGAGCCAAGGCTTCTGCGCGTTGTGCTGAACTTCATCAATGAGGTAGAATCAGTACTACTGTTGACAGGTAGTCTCAGAAATGAACGCTGCTCCATCCGTATCTTTCCAGACATCCCATGGGGCGAGCGTTATCTAGTTAACTCCAACTTAGAGTAGTACCGGAAAGAAACTTCATCCAAAACTATACATCTTTACGGGGTTCCTGAAACTGAAGCGTGTGATGAGCATGAAATAACAACGCATGATAAAGAACAGTGGTGTTATATTCGCGAACCACTCTGTTTGGATGATGTGTTAGCGAAATCCATGTCACGAATGTGTACCTCACCGAACTACAAAGTAAGTGGTTCGAGTGTTGAAGGTGGTCCTTCAGTCAAAACATATCATGGCAGGGATACTAAGAAGCTGAGGTTTGGCGAAATACAATCAACGATATACCTCCTAGAGATGATATGTCTCTCAAAGAACCAAACGCAATGGTATCTATGAAATAACAATGCACCAGTAGTGTGTCGAATGAGCCCATACAACCTGTAGCAGATGATACTGACCGGACACCTTACACTGTACGTCGAAGATTAGACACGAGAATAACTACAAGGACGATGAATAAGACGTTAAACTCTTCACCAAGTACACATCGAAAAACGATTAGTCGCCGGCCAATCACTGCTCGGCGAAACTTCACGTATGAGTTGTACAACCACCGGAATAGTGCTTAAATCTGCGAAACTTTCATGTATGTATACTAACGCCCAAGCGCTCCTCAGTAAACTTACCAAACTTCGACTACGTCAGGTCGCAAATGCTTGGGACCTAATTTCTATTACCATAACTTGGTTACCCAGAGAGGTGACTGATGCTGAGGTTGAGGTAGCCGGAATGTCACTCATCCTGAACGAAAGCCCCAGCAGAGGAGGTGGAGTCCTACTCTACTGCCGTAGCGACCTGCAACGTACAGTAGTTGATGATCTGGAAATACATCTTACCGACCTACTCTGGTGCCGTCTCCGACTAAGACACAAAGAGGTATGTTCGTAACTGTCGTTAACCGCTCCCCAACGTCTACTCCGAAAATGGATTCCCGTTTGATACCTGGCCTGAACATAGTAACTAGCAATATGTACAGCCACATTCTCATCTCCGGGGACTTCAATCTACACGATCTGAAGGTTTTCTTATCGCCCGGCGAGCAGTTCACAGCAGACTTGCATGAACGGGTCACTAATATTCCATTGTGCAAACATGTCACAACGCCCACTAGATTCACGACAGCAAAAAGCCGTCCATATTAGAACATGCTTAAGAATGGAGAGCTCATGGTTGACAAGTTATTTTTGGATAGTCCATCAGGTCTCAGTGACCACGTAGTGATAATGTTCAACTGTGTGTTAAGCAGTGTATCCATCTAAACACTTGGAACTAACTCATACAAGCATACGATACCACATATTGGAAGAACTCGCCGACGCAGCTGCTTGGGAATTCTCAAACAACAGCTCCCTTGACAACGTTTGGACGGAGTTCGTTAATAGACTCGGCGACATCGTCAACAAAGCATCAGAGACTAAATCGCTTTGTCCCGCAAAAATGTCTTCAATTCTAATGAGCATGACTCGCAAATGCCTCATAATAAAGGATGCATCATTGGGTGCCTACAAGATTAATCCCGACTCAGATTCGGGGCAATTTCCTAATCCATCGCAACCATTGCACTGTACTTGTCCGTGAGGATAAAGTAACTTATCAACAGTGCCTAGCCAAAATATTCATGGCAAACAACAAACTGCTGTATAAGCACGTCAATAGTCTTCGTAAACTGAAGCATAGAATCCCTCCACTTTTCATGACAGACGGCAGAGTACAATGCGCCGAAGAAGCAGCTAATGACCTCCAGCTGCACTACGCCACCATTTTCGAACTCGCAGTCTCTACCTGTCCCATAATATCAAGCTCATTACCGATTACATTGTATACGCATGTAATTTTCAACCCATCAATTGTGCTATAGAAGTTACTCTCACTGCGTGAGCATAGTTTTCCGGAAGCAGACAACGTCCGCCAGAAGGCACTGAAGGTTGTGGACAACAAGCTGGCTGAACCACTGTCACGGTTCTTCCAAACTTGCTTTGATGAACAATAAGTCCCCACTATG